AATCTTGCTATTTTGGCAGGTACTGCAATCAATATGTTGATAAGGATGCACTATTATACCTCATTTTGGCCAATGAGATACTTCACGCTTTGCATCCAGATATAATAACAATTGCCGAAGATGTGAGAAATTGATATTTAAATGTTTGTTTATAGTATGAGAACTCCTATAAAGAAACTCACATAACATTTGTTTATTTTCATAGAAGGCTCGGAAAAAAAAAATTAGCACATAGCTGCTAGTGGGGTCCATAGTCCAGGTCATATTGGGATATTGGCTCTACCAAAATTTATATTCTGATTTTGTATTCAAGTCGAGTAGCAGATATATTGATATCATTAAAGACGATTAAAAAACAGATTTGAATCTTCTTTTTTTACTGTTTTTATTCCATGCAAAGTTTAGGGTTACATATGCAGAGACTTGCAAATTTAATTTCTCTTCACTCTATCAATTAATGAAATGCAGTCCATTCATTTATGGAGGTGTTCATGTTCTCACTGAATTTATTCAGTGCTATGCATAATTTGTGGCTTCTACAGAGTTTTATTTTTGATATATTTTCCAGGCAACCTTCTATCCTGGGCTATGTGAACCAACCTCACAAGGCGGATTGGGATTTGATTATTGTGTCAATCTTTCTGTGTCAGAGATCTGGTCATCTTTTCTTGAGACTGTTCCAGACCATGATTGGAGCATGAGTAAGGTTGTATTATTTAATTGTTATATATTGTCTTAGAATCAAGTGGGATTGTGTCGTTTCCTTGTTAATTTACTTACTTTTTTTCCCTTCCATAAGGTGAAAATTCAGTGATGTTAACCTACATTGCAGATTGTCAACACATTAATGGGCAACAGAAAATTTGCGGATAAAACACTTATGTATGCTGAAAATCATAACCAGGTATTAATCTCTTGTACATCAACAACTCTATTGAGATACCCTAATCATAAATTCTATACCTTGTTTTAATTTATATGTGTTTGATTTATTGCTACACCGTGTTATTACAATCTGCATATCAGTCAATATCTGGAGGGCGGTCATTTGCGGAGATATTATTTGGTGAAATCAGGGATGGTTCCCATGACACAGAGAAATTACTGCTGAGAGGTTGTTCCTTGCACAAGGTATGCTATGTGCCTTCTATAGTAAACATATCTTTATTATCTTGAAAATCAAAGTCTAACTGGCAGAATTTGTGTACTGTTTTATATACATACATGCCCTCACAGATGCATTGCTTCTTATATATGCATAATGCACATCTGCATGAAAACACATGCAATGAATGCAACATGTAATGTGTAAATTTTGTAAGTTGTTCTCATCTCATGTTTTTGTTTGGTCTGTTTATTTATATGTTCATTTTTGGTCTTGAGCCAGATGATCAGGTTAATTACTTTGACAATTGGTGGCCGTGCCTATCTCAACTTCATGGGCAATGAATTTGGACATCCAGAGGTGAGGTTACTGGCCCCTGCATGACCAAGAACTTTATTTCATGTGACTAATGATCTTTCTCATGTTGCAGAGGGTTGAGTTCCCAATGCCAAGCAACAATTTCTCGTTTTCACTTGCCAAGCGTAGGTGGGATCTTCTTGCAAAGGAAGGATTGCATCGCAACTTGTTTATATTTGACAAGGTGTCAAATAATAACTTTTTGTTACCATCTTATTGCCCTGACATGCTTACATGTTATGATCTTCTGGCTGTCATTCTGTGGCATCTGCTGTTGTTAATAGTTGCTGAATACTATTTAGTACAGGTTTCTAATGATTAAAATTTCCCCATAAATGCAGTTTCTCTAATGTGTGCTCACTCTTGGTTTCACCATAAGCATGTTCAACTTAAGTTACTATTTTGGATTATTCTTATGAACTATTAAATGGCCTCTGTCCTGAGTGACTAATGTTCCGTGATATCATGGTAGCAAAGTAATATTGATCTTTCCTCTTTCCTAGGACTTGATGAATTTGGATGAAAATGAAAGAGTACTTACAAGAGTTTTACCCAGCATTCATCATGTGAATGACGATAACATGGTTTGGTGACTCTTCCATTCAATTACTTTGGTGTGCTTGCATGCGTTTGGGAAAGAATTTTGTGCCATTTACTGATTAAAATATTTATTTCCTTTTACAGGTAATAGCTTACCTAAGAGGCCCCCTTCTCTTCGTATTTAACTTTCATCCAACAGATTCTTATGAAGGATATGGAATAGGTGTAGAAGAGGCTGGAGAGTATCAAGTAGGTTTTGACAAACAGCTTCTAGTAGTTTATCAAGTAGAGATAGGGCTTTTAACTCTTATCTGTGTGCTGCCATGAGTACAGTAATTCAGGGAACTGAAGAACCAAGTAGTTTGCTTTCGGTGTCAAACATTATATGTATGCATAGAACTGCAGGGCTTAAATTAAATAAAAATCTGTTACTTTTCTGACCACAGCTTGTACTCAATACGGATGAAATAAAGTATGGAGGTCAGGGACTTATAAAGGATGACCAGTATTCGAGGAAAACTATTAGCAAAAGGTTAGTGTTAACTTGCTTGACCCCACGACTACCTTTCCAATATTTCTTATTTTCTGTCTATTATCTTTGTGTGCGTGTTTTGGAATTCAATTCTGGTTACTTTCTTTGGTTCTGCCCTTTATGTTGTTCTGACATCTTGGTTTTGCAGAGGCGATGGCCTCCGAAACTGCTTAGAAGTGCCTATGCCCAGTAGGACTGCCCAGGTTGGTAAATCTTTCTGCAGTTTTTCTTTTGTTAGTATCTTGTTTTGTGGCCACTAATTTTCTTTGCTTTAGAGGGCTAGGGGATGCAACAACTATTCTAAAGGGCTTTTTTATCTGTTTAGCACTGTACTTTGTTTTCAAATTGTAAATAGCCTCACTCGATAATTGACTGTTGTACTTGATCTACTGCATGCATTTGGATACATATTAAATAATTTTGGTACAAACACTATATCTTGAGGCATTTTTGCTCTTGTGCATCCACAATCTTGCTTTTGGTTCTGTTGTTTCAGTCCCACTGATACTGCGGGACCTAAAAGGCGAAAACCTCTTCTCACTATGCACCATGTGACCAAACCTTGTGATATACTAAATAGTGGTGAATTTATATTACATTTTGACATGAATATTTATCATGTTAATTTTCTTATTTGCAGGTTTACAAATTAAGTAGAATTTTGAGAATATAAAAAATATTGCACTCAGAGAGTAACTTGTAAGCCGACATTCAAGCACGAAGGCTAACACTTACTGCATAACACTCATCAAGTTATAAAGTTTATATGGTAGTTCATCACTTCTGTAAGTGGCCTTGATGGGAAATCTCATATTTTAACAAGAAGATTAACCGTTCAAGAAGAAAGGTAGGATGTTCGTCTATTCTCTTCATTATCATGGTTCTTTATTTTGGAGGCTTTGGCATGTTGATCTCATTTCTTCCATAGTGAACTCAAGGAAGTGTATGTTATGATGCAGCAAGAGGGTTCAAGCAGAATATTTGGATGGGGGGAATTGTGAGATGACACTTCGATTCCTAACTGTTTCTCTCACCCTCCCTCCTTGAAGGAGAATGTATAAATTAGGCAGGAGAATGTATTTATAATTTTCCCCCTTTTTTGTATGAAATTTGAGACTCAAGAGAACGTGTTCTCAACCATATACAAGAAATGACAATTATAATCTTATTTCATCAAATAATTTTGACAATCAATTTTTGAAAACTAAAGTTGTTATAGTAATTAGACAGTCGCTTTCAAGACTTTTAAAATGCTCACTTTCTCCGCGAAGGCCTTGTAAGTTAAGAATGGTTATTCATGCATGTGGTCGTGTGCTCAAATCTCCCTTCTCCCAATGTCATTTGTGTCAAGAAAAAAATGGTCAGTTTCTCTATGTAATAGTCATCATTTTCCATGTCAAAATAACTTTGACGTTAACTTCTTATTCGAGCTAGCAAGGTAATGTCATAAATGAGTTGAAGCAATTAATGGTCAATCCGAATATGTTAAACATCATGTCATATTCGAGTTGACATTTATTACTCGAGTTATCTTACTAATATGAGTACATATCATACATAAGTTCATGCAATTAGTGTTGAATCCAAATATGCTAATATTTTGTCGAATTCAAGTTAACTTGTTAAATAAAATTAGTCGAGCTAGCATGCCATGTCACAAATGAGTTCATGCAATTAAAGATCAATCCAAATATTTTAAGTGTTATGTTGGATTATACAGTTCTATCATAATGAGCTAACGAGTCATGTTGTATATATTTTTGTGTAATTAATGGTCAATTATTCAAATTTGTTAAGAACCATGTTAGAGTCGAGTTGTGTTCTATATGAGTTCATGCAATTAATGGTCCATTCAAATTTGTTAAGCATCATTTCGGATTCGGATCGTGTTATATTACAACGAGCTATGGGTTGTGGTGTATATGAGTTCAAGCAATAAACGGCCAATCCAAATTTCTTAAGCATCATGTTCGATTTGAGTCATGCTCTATCAAAACAAGCTAGTGGGTCGTGTCGTATATGAAAGTTCATGCAATTAATGATTAATCCAAACTTAGTAAGCATCATGTCGAATTTGAGTTGCATTCTAACTAACTAGCTAGAGAGTCGTGTCCTGTATGAGTTCATGCAATTCATCGTCAATCTAAATATGTTACATGTATTGTCAAATACGAGTTGAATTATCGTATCTAAAGCAATGTTGTATATGAGTTTATGCAATCAATATTCAATCTAAATATGCTAAACGCTATGTCGAATTCGAGTTGTATTATCGTATCGTGATACAAATTACTAATTGTGCTTGAGAGCTTTAAATTGCTCTCATGGGACAGAGTGGAGCGTAGACGCACTTTCTTCTTGAAGCGTAAATACTTTATTTTCTAGTGAAACTTAGGTGTCACTTCATATAACTCAAATGTAAGGGTCATTGCCACGCGCATGTAAAGTACGTGGCTTTAAATATAAATCCAATTCCTCGTCTCGAAATTGAACTTGTCTTCTACACACTCTCTCTCTCACTCTTTCTCTCCCTCAACGGAAACTCGTAGAAAATTGGAAACTGTGAGAAACTGATGGTAAAAGTTTCAAGCTTTGAAAGTCTTCTGCTATGAAATGCCGAATCTGCGCTAGTTTCTTTACATGAGCGCACCGTTTGGAGACCCGATCGCTTCTAATTCCAGTGCCGCCGGAGCTCAGCCTAACAAGGAACCAAAAATGGCGTCAGCTGAGCAATTGGTGCTCGAACTCAGTAACCCTGATCTTCGTGAAAATGCCCTCCTTGAACTCTCGAAGGTATAATCTTTGGGCTATATTCGTTTCTAAATTCAGTTCCTCTGTCTTTGATTGGTTCCATTTAGGGTTTTATTTTCTTTTTTGTTTATGGGGTTTTGGGCTTGAAGGTATGATCAAGCTTAAAATCTGGGGTTGTTTGTAATTTGGATTCTATTTAGCTTTCTTTTGTTTTAGCATCATTTCGTTGCTTTGTGATTCTGTGTATTTGATGAGAACCCAAGGAAAAGGGGAAAAAGATAGTTAGTTCTACATAATATGTGTTTCATGCGTAAAGGGGGTTCTTTGCGTTTTTCTTTTTTCCATTTAAGAAAATTTGCATCTTTGTAGTCACAGCAGGCATGTGGGACCCACCTACTATAATTATTCCTCGGGTAGGATAAAAAATCTAATTTTGATGCATTTCTTTCATGTTTCCAGGTATACATTCCTTAATTATGTTTAATCAATTTCCTTTTTAGATGGAATTTTTAACTTCTGCAGTAAGGTGGTTATTGAAAAAGTTCATAGCTGGAACCTGTTTTGTGTTTCTGGATTTGGAATAGTGTAGTGGTTGCTGAGAGTATATCTCACATGCGGGATGTAAAGCCTTGCATTGCATCGTGGGCCTCTCCACCCGTTTCCAATTGGTTTTGGGTTGGATGCTCTAGTTCTGTCATGTATCTGTCAGGCCCAACGGCTACATATGCTCCCACGTCGTTTGATATCTGTGTCACACTGCACTTGAGGGGGTGTGTTGAGAGTATAAATCCCAGGTTGGAAATGTCACACTATATAAGATCTTGGGCGTTTCCATCCATTCCCAATTGCTTTTGGGTTGGATGCTCCGCTCTGTTTCAATCAGCAGTGAGGGAATTGAAGTGATATAGATACTATTACAACATACTAAATGGGCTGCATAATTTAGTAATTTTTCTTTATTAGTTTGGGTTTTTCATTGTCTACAACATTAGTGACAGTTACACGTGCTTAGCTCATGTCACACTAGACGTGAGGGGGGTGTTGAGAGTATGAATCCCACGTCATACTTTATAAGATCTTGGGCGTCTCCATCCATTCCCAATTGGTTTTGGGTTGGATGCTCTGCTCTAATTCAATCAGGTGAGGGAATTGAAGTGATATAGATATCATTATAACATACTAAATGGGCTGCACAATTTAGTAATGTTTCTTTATTAGTTTGGGTTTTTCATTGTCTACAACTTTAGTGACAGTTACATGTCAGATCTGGAAAAAGACTTGGTTTCTATGCATAAGCACTTTGGCCAAAGGATTATCGTTCCCACCTATTGTGAAGAGCCAAACAGTGCCTTGAAGCACTTACTCCAAAGATTATTTTGATCAAATTTTCTTGTTCATTTTTAAAGGATAAAAAAAGGAAAAAATCGGTATGATTATACCTGTTCGATAAAGTTGCCACCCCCATGAGAGCTATGCACATGTTTTCTTAACGGAGTAAATTTTTAAGTTGTAACTGTTGAACATTTTTGAGCTGCAAATAGACTTGCATCTGCCTTCTGGTTTTGATGGTCATTTTTAATAAAATTTGGCATTCTAATATTCAATTTGGTACTTTTTGTGCGCTATGTGTATTCCTGGTTAACCCTCCTTATCTCTTTTCTGTTTCAATTTGTAGAAGAGAGAATTATTTCAAGATTTGGCTCCATTGTTGTGGAATTCTTTTGGTACTATTGCTGCTCTGCTACAGGTAAGCTTGTTGTGCATTCTTATTGAATTGAATTTTTTATTTTTTGGGTTTTCGCCTGTTTTGTAAAAATGTCTGTCTACAAAGGTAGCATTTTTGGCACATGCTTTTAACTTGTTTTCATTTTTCTTCTATATAGAAAATACCTTGTGTGTTATACATATGTCCATGCATCATTGACGTTCCAGCGTTTGACTGCCTGTTTGATAATCAACACTACTGGGCACTCTTCTGTCTTACTTCCTGATTATGGATTCTCACTCTGTTTCTCATCCTGTGTGCAGGAGATAGTTTCAATTTACCCTGTTCTGTCACCACCAAATTTAACTCCGGCTCAATCAAATCGAGTTTGCAATGCTTTAGCTCTTCTTCAGGTCCATTGATGCACTTATTTCATTCTATTTAATGGAGTTGGCCTATATTGTACATATTGTATTATTATTGTGTGCTTCATATTCCTTTTGTATTATCTTGTAGTGTGTGGCTTCTCACCCAGACACCAGGATGTTATTCCTTAATGGTAATAACCTTTATTTTGTTTACATTCGAAGGCTTCAAATTTCCTTCTTAGTGTACTGGTACATATAAGCATAATTTTCTCAAGCAACTTCGAGTACTTGAGGTTTAAATTTCCTTCGTGTGCTGGTACGTTTAAATTTTAAATATTATAAAAAAGGATTATTTCATCTGAGGTTTTGTCCTTGGCAGCTCATATACCTTTGTATTTGTACCCTTTCCTTAATACAACAAGCAAGTCAAGGCCTTTCGAGTACTTGAGGCTTACTAGCTTAGGTGTCATTGGTGCCTTAGTGAAGGTATGCTATTCTTGCTGCCATGTTATTGCACAAACTGATACGTATATTTGTCTTTTTATTTGTTTGTGTGATAAAATGTTATGCAGTAAATTGACAACATGATATCCAAGTATAACTTGATGGCACTTAATCTGTTATGAGTTTGAACTACGAACAAGAACATGGTTGATTCTGTAGCATTGCTTTATTTGCATAAGTATTAGATTATCTTCCATTTGCTTTTGTATCAAATTAAATATGCATGACTGCTTATCATTTGTAATATTTTCCTACACGTGCACTTTTCTGTGCAGTTCTTCCTCTCACTCTTCACACATCATGAAACCTGGAAAGGAGAATTATGTTACCATGATAGATCCTGCTATTTTGATAAAGTATTCAGCATTTTTATGGAAGTCATATCACTTTGATGGGTATATTTGGAAATTGGAATATTAATTCTTTTTACTCCTCTTTACCAGGTCGATGATACAGAAGTGATTAGTTTTCTTCTGTCAACAGAAATAATTCCACTGTGCCTGCGCACTATGGAAATGGGTAGTGAACTCTCAAAAACAGTTGAGTGTCCTTTTCTATTTTTTCACTTTTTTTTTCCATCTGTATATGCATCATCCGATCTTCGTATAGCGTACTGTACAGGGTCCTTCTCCTATTGCTTGAGTTTGGATGTAAGGTATGTAATTGCCTGACAAAAGGTTTTCTTCTGGCAGGTGGCCACATTTATTGTTCAAAAGATTTTGTTAGATGATGTGGGCTTGGATTATATTTGTACTACAGCTGAGCGGTTTTTTGCAGTAGGTCGAGTCTTGGGAACCATGGTAGCATCACTTGCTGAGCAGCATTCATCGCGCTTATTAAAACATATTATCCGATGTTATCTTCGATTGTCAGATAACGCAAGGTTGGTTAAATGAAGTAGATTCTTTTTTAGTGTTTTTAATTTATCTTGTTAATGATTTTTATAGACCTGTTCTTTGTCTGTTATCATGCAGGGCTTGTGATGCTTTAAGAAGTTGTCTTCCGGAGACATTAAGAGATGCTACCTTCAGTGGTTGCCTTCGTGTAAGAACTTCTTTGCCTACCTATGTTGTTCAATTCATACTTGATCTTAATTGGTATTCTGGAGAAAAGTAAAAATTAGCCTGTTTCATGACTGGCAATCATTAAGGTGTTTGCCAAGTCATATCACACCCTAATTTCTGAAAATAGGGTGCCATAACTTTGTCCAATGCATGTTTTGGTGTTCTTCATAGTAGTTAGCCCTACTGTTGTTTTTCTTGCTTTTGTTTTTTAGGGATACGTTAATACTTATTGTAGCCCACTTGATTTCAGTTTCAATGTTTCAAAGTGCCTTGATACCAGTTACCCTAAACTGTTGGTGTACAATATAACATGATGTTCACATGCAGTAAAATTTGTCACGTTTCTCCCCAGAATACAAATCAAGTCAATCTTTGTGAATGAATTCTTTGTTGTATTTTACAAAAATCACCGATTCTAGTTTCTATTTTTGTCTTCGTAGACCAGTTATAGTCTGCGAGATATTTAAAAAAAGAAAAAGGCTTTCAGTCAGATAAACTTTTAGACCCATTTGTCTGGATTAACTTTTGCTTTCAGTTTCCCCTACTGTTTTGTATAGACCCAATTGTCTTGATTAACTTTTGCTTTCTATATCCCCTACTGTTTTATTTCGACCCAACTTTTGCTTTCAATATCCCCTAACTTTTGCATTGTCTGGTTCACTTTAGAAGTTAATTGTTTTTGTCAATGGTTTCAGGAAGATCCAACTACAAGGAGATGGCTGCAGCAGTTGCTTCACAATGTTGCGGTTAGTCGGGTTCCTGCACTTCAGGCCGGAGGAGGGTTTGATCATATGATGGTGAACTAATATAAATAATTCAATGTTGTCCTTGGGCTGCCATCTGCTGTTTATGCATCAGAGAGGGGCTGCATGCTTCTTATTTATCTACCTCAGTGCTAATGGGAAAATTTCATCTTTGTAATTACAAAATGTTTCTTCTGTAAACTTGGCCTGAAAAGGCGAAGCTTTTAACTATTGACCTTCCAAGAGAAGTCAATTGTTCCCAGAAGAAATTGTCTTCTTGGCTGATTTCATGTGTAATTTTTTGAATTGTTCGGTTTATTTAACAAACCCCCATTATGGCAAAATTATTCCTAATAAAGTAAGCCTTTCTTTTGACATATTTTGTTTTCTATACATAGTACTTGGTTTTGGGGCTTCTTGTCTCAGTGGTAGGAGAAAAACTTGGTTGCAAGGGGATAACACTATTTTACTATTCCCGGTCAATAATGCTATGTTACCTTGAAATGTTATCACGCGTGTTATAGTATTATTGGCCCCGTTCCATGCAAGTGTTTATCTAGTGGTAGAGCATTTTACTTGGAAATGTGGTTTGGCTTCTAACAGCGGTGGACTGTAATTTTGTGTGTTCTCATAAATATTTTTTTCTTTCTATTCATGTCCCATTTTGATACGCATCGCCGGGATGTAAATGTGATTTTTTGATTGGTACTAATTCGTTTTTCTCTTAATTTTTGTGTGTTAGATTTCATCCCATAGATTTTGGTTCAAATCCGTTTGTCTAAATTGAAAAAAAAATTAATTCAGATCCGTTGGATGAAATTGCAGTTACAACCTCCAATTTTGGTTGAAATCTGGCCGCCCAATTTCAATGCATCCTAGTCGTCCATCAAGTAACCGTTGGTGAACTTACTCTCAAGCAAGATCTAAAATGTCAATAATATGGGCGAAATATCGGGGATATTATCGTGTTTTTGGGAGAAGGATATATTGGAACTTATCTATGCAATTATCATATAAGTATTGATAATTTCAGCGATAATATCGGGGAAATTTTGAATCCAAGACAATATCGAGATATTATCGATAATATTGATAATATGTAAGTGGAATGGAAAAAGGAAAAAAAAAACCATAGTCGCGCGTGCACACAGAGCGGCTCATGGAAAGAATTTGAGACCCAATCTTCAAATGATTTTGCTTATGTACAACGTTAACCAATCTCATAGCCATATGAGTGACATGTTAACAATTACATGCAAAACTATTTTGGGGATTTATCATTTGATAACTACTCTTCAAAATACACATACTCTATACATAGAGATTATGAAGACAATGAAAAATTTGAATCTCATAGAAACTCTGTGTGGTACTAAGTCACTCATGTATCTTACTATGCGATGTATAAAGTGTAAACTATTGTAATAAATTATTATAGTGTGTTTAATCTTTTCTCATTAATTACTACATATTTTCTATGTTTGTCAACTCGTTATATAATTAACTTAAATAAGTCAAACTCACCATTCAATGCATTTTCTTCCAATTTTTTTTGGTAATAAAACAATAGATAATTGACTAAATAAACATCCTCTAAAGTTTCAATCAAAATTTCCAAGTTTTTCATATAATTTCCGTAATTTTTATTCAATATTTATCGATATCAATATTTTTCCGATATTTCCATTGATATTTTGGTGTTTTCAAACAATTGATCTTTCCAAACACTCGATATTTTAGTTTGGTCACTATAAAACGACTACAGTCTAAACTTGAACTCCCAAGCCAACCAACACGAATCAGGTGCTTAACTTCAAAACGACACCGCAGAGAGTTGTCTTCAACTTCAAACTCATCGAACTCATTCTGTAAGGAAAAAAACTCGAACTCATTCTGCAAGCAAAAAAACTCATTCTGCAAGCAAATCGTGATCCCCATCATGAATCGCAGGGTCCAGCATCCATCACCAGAAATGGGACAATCGGTGTCAGCCGTGGAGCAAATCCTGGGCTACAATTTCACGAACAAGAGGCTTCTAGAAGAAGCTCTGACCCACCCCTCATGCACCGAATCGGCGTCGTATCAGCGCCTGGAGTTCATCGGCGACGCCGCTGTCAGCCTCGCGCTCAGCAACTACTTCTTCCTCTCTAATCCTGGGGTCGACCCTGGCACCCTCTCTCTGCTACGCTCCGCCAACGTAAGCACCGAGAAGCTCGCACGTGTGGCCGTGCGCCACGGCCTTTATCACCACCTTCGCCACAATGCACCTGCTCTCCTAAATAAGGTCATTACTTTCTATTAACTAATTCTTCCTTTCTCTCTCTTTTTTGTTAATTTTTTTTTTTCTGTTTCTCAAGCAATTTCATCTTGTCTGCTTCTCTGTTTTCTGTGTTGGAACAGCTTAATTATTTCGTAAATTTGAATTTTTTTAGTTTTTTTTTTCTAGTGATAGCAGAAGTTGGTGAAAAGAAATTAGAATTGTGTCTAAATTTGTATTTTGTATATGAGGGTGAATGTTTAAACAAGGGGGAAGGTTTTTTTTTTTTTTTTATTCCTCTTCCCCTGTTTTTCTGGGTAATTTTTCTTAAAAAGGATTTGGATTATTAAATGAAATGGTTTGAACTCTGGGTTTTGTTTGCGATTCGTTTGTAAATTTCAGGTTAGGGAGTTTGCTGAAGCTGTCAGTGGAGAAGATGAGACACCGCTTGTATATGGTGGGCCTGTAAAAGCCCCTAAGATTCTTGCAGATGTTGTGGAGTCTGTGGCAGCTGCTATTTATGTTGACTTGAATTTTGATCTGGAGAAACTGTGGATGGTGTGTATCTTTATTTGCTTCTCTTTGTTTTAAACGAAAGTGAAAAGCTTGGTTTTGCTAAGTTTGTATAAAAGTTTTACCAATTTGGCTATAGACTATAGTATAACCTTTGAACTTTTGTAATTGTTGTGTATATTTGTAGATATTCAGGGGTCTATTGGAGCCTATAGTTACTCTAGAAGACTTGCAAGGTCAACCGCAACCCGTGACAATGTTGTTTGAGCTTTGCCAGAAACATGGGAAGCATGTTGATATCAAACATTGGAGAGATGAGAGGAAGAGTATTGCTAGTGTGTATGTTGATGGCGAATTTGTTGCTTCGGGTTCTTCTGAACATAAGGAATTTGCCAAGCTTGATGCTGCTAAGGTAGCTGTTGATAAGTTATCGCCATCGATGGGTTTAAATGATGAGCCGTTTGAAGGTGTTGTCTTAATGGATGGGTCATTTCATATTGAAGAAGCAAAACAGAAGTTGCATGAGATTTGTGACCAGAAGAAGTGGCCTAGACCAATTTACCAGTATGAATCTTTACGTTATCATGATTTTTCTGTTGTCAATTCTATTTGTTAAGCAGAGCCATATTGGTTTTTCTGTTGCAGCATGGAGAAAGATGAAGGTCCTTCACATGAGAAGAGATTTATGTCCTCGGTTAAAATTGCAACTATAGATGGGGTGTTATACATGAAGGGAGATGAAAAGTCGAGAGTAAGAGATGCGGACAATTCTGCAGCTTCCTTGATGATCCGGGCTTTACAAGAATATCGTTATATATGATGCAATGCTTTACCTACTGCATTTGAAGGCATAGGTTGGATGGAAATTTACATATTTAAACTTTAGAGAAAGGAAGAATTGCCATGTACTTTAGGAAATTGCTGTGTTTCAATGCCTCACGGATGCTAAGGATTTGAGGCTTTAACGTTTGGTCTGTGCTTGTAAATTTCAGACGGTCCAAAGCTCACCTTCATTGTAAAAAGCCTTTAACGTCTGGTTTGGCAGACGCGCTTGTTTTTAATTTTACCTGCTAGTTTTTCTGGCATTCCCACAATATACAAGCTAGTTTGTCCTCGCGCGCAGAGTACAGAGCCCAAGTGCTTAAACATTCCAAACGACAACTCAAAAATTAAACTCTGTCGTTCTCTCGGCTCTCATAAAATCAAGGACAGATTAGTCAGAGAATTTTTAATTTCAAAATTCTTAACCCCCAATTCGATTATAGGATGCCGATTTTTGATCACCTAATCCCCACATGAGCCCTGTTTCTCTTTTTCTTTTTATTAAATAATCTTTTTGGTCTCACGTTTCGAACCGTTATGATACATTAACAGTGTGTGTAAGAAATATCCCCTTCTATATCTCTTGTATAAAAAAAATATATTCTTTTTTGTCCTTACTTTACTAGCTGAACTTAGAGTATCTCCAAGGGATTAGACAAAAGAGTAGGCAAGCCTTATTTGCATTGCCACATCAGCATTTTCATGCTCTTAGGGAGTAAGTAAATAGGTAGGCAAAATATACCTACTCTCCCCAACAAGGCAATGTTGTCTACTTCATGAGGCAAATGGGTAGGCAACATGCCACCTAAGAGCATCTCCAAGGGAAGAGGCAAATGAAATAGGCAAAATTGTACTATAATAACCTAGGTGGCATGTTGCCTACCCATTTACCTCATGAAAAAGTTGGTTATTCTAAGGAATTAGGCAATGCAAGTCTACAAATCATTATTATATTATTTATTTTTATCTTTTACATTTACAATTATATTTTATAGAAAGCATGTAAGAGAGTGGAGTTGATATTTTATTATAAAAAACAAGTGGAGCCCAATATACCTCTTCACTTTGAAGTAGGTAATATTGCCTTGTTGGGGAAAATAGGTATATTTTGCCTACCCATTTGGGTCTTCACTTGGAGCATGAAAATGCTAATGTGGCAAGGCAAATGACGTTTACCTACTCTTTTTGCCTCTTACCTTGGAGATGCTCTAAGTTGTTATATTCACTACTAGAAATATGGCTACTAGCCACTGATTATTTAGATACAAATTCATAAAAGTGCCTTATGATTTTTTTTTTTTTTGGATACTAATTCTCCCACCATGCCTATTAAAGGTATTTGGGATAGACATTGGTGTCTAATACAGAAAAGTAATTTTCATTATTTTTCCTTAATAATTGGGCATTTTTATTAGTCCCAACTTGTCAAAAGAAACTGGCTCCCTTCACTCAGCTACTTTGGCATTTGGCCTTAAATTGGATACTGATTGCTTTTGTTAGTTTCTCCCGTTGGATATTTTCACATAGCGCAATGTTAAAACACATTTTTTATTTCTCAACTTCAAACACGTGGACATAAGCAAAAGAGAGAAAAAAGAATTCTTTGTTTCACTTCTCTCTCTCTCTCTCTCTCTCTCTCTCTCTCTCTCCTCTTTTCTCTTATTCTCTTTGCGTGAATCACAAAGCCATCTGGCCACAAAAGACTAGGCTGCGGCTTGAGATCCCGATCTGGAAATTGAAGAGTTGGAGCAGTGTGACTTGGTAAGATGCCTATCTAAAAGTTGATGAGAGAAAATCTGGGACAAATACTGTGATGGTTTCGTTATGGAAGAAGGCGCTGATGAACTGGTTATTGAAAAATCATAATATCACTCTTCTTCAGTGTGCCTTTATTTATTTATTTTGGTTCCAACATCTGATTTTGACTTTGGTATGATATATATTTATATATGGCTGTTACTGAATGCTTTTTTTCTTTTTCTTTTTTAATTTTTGAGGAAAGGTAATGGAGAGCTTGGAAAGCGCATTGAACAGAGGAGCTTCAAAATCTTTGTAAGAAATTTTTTGTATAATTATTTTTTATAAAATTTGGTTTTAGTTTAGTTACATTAACCTGTTCATTATTTTTTTCAGCTCCTTCACACCATTGGAGTAACCCTAGATCTAAAAGGAGAAAACGCCAGGATCACCTAACGATCCAAAGGAAATACTGTAAGGCTCATATATAGTTGCATAGTCTCTATTGCTTAATGGAGACAATTTATTGTCTCTAAAATCAACTTAGGAGACAAATTCATATCAGTGGCTAGTGTGTGTTTTTTAAATAGTGATTACAATTTTGCCTACTTCATTTGCATACTCCTTCTTATGTTTTGTTTCACTTCAAATTTCTGGCATTTCCAATTTCTACACAAATCGTGTGTGATTGGCTACACTGTTCTACCTTTATTCCTTATTCTTTTTCTCTTTTGCTTTTTCTTTAATATTATGTTTCCTCTTTACTTTACTACTAAGGTTGGTGATGAAGCTAATTGGTTTCATCACTTTAATTTTCTGGCATGTCCACTTCTTACACAAGTAGTTTTACTTCATCAAACTTCAAACCACGACGACCCCGAATTCATGAACAAGATGAAGAAAGCCTTCACCACCCCAACATCCCTTGATCGTGAACTTGAGCCATCGCCGGTTATGAAAGAGTCAGTGACAGCCGTGGAGAAGATCGTCGGCTACAGCTTCAAGAACAAGAGGCTTCTAGAAGAAGCTCTCACCCACCCCTCCGTCCCTGGGTCCGCTTCGTATCAACGCCTCGAGGTCCTCGGCGACAGCGTTCTGAACCACGCAGTCACCAACTACTTCTTTTGTATGGCTGACCGCCGGAAGTTCAACCAAGACCAAATCACTAAGCTACGCTCCGCTAACGCTGGCAACCTCAAGCTCGCCCGCGTCGCTGTTCGCCTTGGGCTTTATCCCTACCTTCGCCGCTACAATACACCTGTTCTTGATGATAAGGTTATTTTCTTCTTCTTTTTTTTTTTTTTTTTTTTCTTTCTCAAGCGATTTCTGATTCTGAGCGGGACTTTACATTTTAGATGCCCATGGAATTTAGGTAGGCTTGATTTTTTTTTTTAATTGATGTTGTGCCCTAAAATATGGTCAAATACCACATTATTTCCCTAATAAAAGATTTGGGAAACAAGATGCAAAACGTGGGAGGGTAACATATTTTCAACAACACTAATATCATTAAACCTTTTTTTGTATTTTTTTTTTGTGCTTGAAGAATATTTGTTAATTATTAATTAATTGTTATTTTAGTTGTGTAAAGCAGAACTAGGCTTGGTTTTTCGGACGGAATGCATCGGAATCAAAATATTCTAATTTCTTCCAAAAAAAAAATTCAGAATTTCAACATCGGAATGCGGAAAATTCGGAATTTTCAGAAATTTTGAAACAACTTGTCTGTCTATTATATGCTAGCATTTATATATTGTTATCTTTAAGGAACAACTTGTGTGTAGTCTAACATTGAAACTCCATTATATTTTGGAGTGCGGAATTTTCGGAATTTTGAAATACATTTCAATTCAAATCCAAATTTTTTCGTAATTTTTGGATGTTGATTTGAACTTTCCAAAATCAGAAATTTTCAGATCGAATTTGACCAGAATTTCCGGTCGAACTTGCACCCCTATGCAGAACGTAATCCACAAAAAGACAAGGTTTTGAATTGTATTAAAGTTCGCCTGTTTCTTTTGAGTTGTCGCTAGCAAGTGAGCATTATGTGATGCAATTACATTAATGACTGACAACTACTCGCGTGTGTGAGCAATACTCCTTAACAATTGTTTTGTTTTGCTATTTGGTGAAAGGGGAGTCGAAGGCCAAACGAATACGAATAACAAATACGCACAAAAAATTTGTTTTAACATCGGCGTGATTGTTTATATTTCACTAACCGTGCTTTCGCGGTTTGTTTAAAACATTATTGGTTGTTAACTAATTGTTCTTTCTTTGGGTTTTATGAGCAAGTTTTTTTTTAAAATTATTTATTTTTTAAAGCTTAGGTTAAGGAGTTTATCGAAGCAGTAATTAATGGAGAAGACGAGACGGGGCTTGTACATAAGGTTCTTGCAGATATTGTTGAGTCCGTGGCAGCTGCTATTTACGTTGACTTGAAATTTGATCTCGATAAACTATGGATGGTGTGTATTTATTTTACCTTCGAATTTTATTTAACATGAAAGTGGAGAAGTGTTGTTAAGTTTGTAAACGCTTGGAAGTTGGGGCATGACTATGTATGTATATAACCTATGAATTTTTGTTGTTTTCTATGTAGATATTTAAGCCTCTTTTGGAGCCTATATATACTCTTGAAGACTTGCGTGGTCGCCCCATGGCAATATTGCATGACTTTTGCCTGAAGAACGGGAGGCGCCTTGAGATCAAGCTGAAGCCAAGAGATGAGACTGAAAATATAAGTATTGCTGGTGTCTATGTTGATGACGTGCTTGTTGGCTCGGGTTCTTCTAAGGGGAATAGTAATGCAAGGCAGAATGCTGCTAAAGAGGCTGTACATAAGTTGTCGCAATCGATGGTTGTAAACGATGGGTCCTTCGAAGGTATTCCAGCTGGAAACGACAGGTCATTTCGTATTGAAGAAGCGATACAAATGTTGCATGTGCTTTGTGTCAAGAAGAGGTTGCTTAAACGTCCAGACTACAAGTAAGAAATTTTACTTTATCATGATCATAAAGTATTCGTAAACGAAGAGCAAAAGAAACGTTATCTAGCTGGAATTATGCTGTAAATTCTATTGTTAACTCGATCCATATTTGTTTTTCTATTGCAGAGAAGAGAACGTGTTAGGCCCTCCACATGAGAGGAAATATTTATACTCAGTTAAAGTGGTAACTTCAGATGGTTCCTTGCAATCTGTGAAGGGAGATGAAAAGTCAAGAAAAAAATGTGCAATGAATTCTGCAGCTTACAAGATGTTCCTTGCTTTACAAGAATATGATAATATGATCAACACCATAAAGTTTTATAGAATGACCAACAGAAAAGAAGCTGATCGTATGATCAACACCAAAGAAGCTGATTGCAAGATCAAGACAAAGGAATCTGATTCCATGTTGGGTAATATTGCCTCACTACTCTACACACTGGGGGCTAAGGCCTACAGGGTGATAATAAGTCTCTTGTATTTTTGAGTGAACCTAGTTTGTTTCTGCTTAAGTCTGTTACTTACACTAGTTATTGTCTCTGTTTTGGCGAAATTAGTTGGTTCTTTTGCTAAGGGGATAAGTAATTTCTATTAAGGGTAATGCGATGGAGGTATCCTTCGATTTACCTATACATGTATAAATTCCCATAGCCAGACTTGGCAAGGCATGAGTGAAGAAGATAATCTCATTTTCTCTATAATTTCTATATATAGTTTTCTCTTCCAAAATCTTCCACACTTGCACCACTATATGTGCTTAATTGTATATGTGGTAGGTTCCTCTACCTGCTACATTTGAACCTGTAACACTTGGTTTGTGCTCGTAGGTTTTAGATTGCTTGGAGTAAAAATTGCATATACGTGTACATGTTTGTTTTCTTTTTGGTAAATTGTACCCATCCTCAATCACATGGTCTAGCATCCATCACCAGAAATGAAACAATCGGGATCAACCGTGGAGCAAATCCTGGGCTACAATTTCGAGAACAAGAGGCTTCTAGAAGAAGCTCTGACCCACTCCTCCTTTTAAATCCCGGGTATAATAGTGACTCTCCCAAGAATTAATTGTTCCTTTCTTTTAAATTTTTTTTCTTTTCTGTTTGCTTCTCTGTTTTGTATGTGAAAGGAATTTTTTTTTTTTTGGGGTTTGTGTTGGAACAGCTTAGTTATTTCAGAAGGATTAAAATTTGTCTTTCCTTTAGCGATAGCAGAATTTGGTGAAAAAAAATAGAAGGTTTAGAATTGTGTGAAAATTTGTTATTTGTATATGAGGGTGAATTTTAAAAACAGGGGAAGGTCTTTTTTTAGTTATTAGTTTAATCTTCCCTGTTTTTCTCGGTAAATTTTCTTAAAAAGGATTTGGATTTTTTATTAAATGGTTTGAACTCCTAAAGGTTTAAAAAGAAATGAAAAGCTTGATTTGCTAAATTTGTAATAGAGTTTAGCAATTTGGCCATAGACTATAGTACAACCTTCGAACTTTTGTTGTTGCTGAATAAATTTGTAGAGCCTCAGGGGTCTATTGGAGCTTATAGTTACTCTTGAAGATTTGCAAAGTCAATTGCGACCGGTGACAAAGTTGTTTGACCAGAAGCATTGGAAGCATGTTGATATCAAGCATTGGAGAGATAAGACCAAGAGCATTACTAGTTGTATGTGGATGACCAATTAATTGTTACTTCGGGTTCTTCGCACAAAGGCTCCTAAATCCATCCCGAGCCTTTTCTTCCACCTCTCCTCTCCAATCCTCGATCAAACTTGATGGGTCGTTTGAAGTTATTGTTGGGATGAATGGGTTATTTCATATTGAAGAAGCAAAACAGAAGTTGCATGAGCTTTGTGACAAGAGGAAGTAGCCTAAACCAATATACAAGTATGAATCTTTACCTTTTGATGATTTTAAGTGTGTTAGAATTATGTTGTTAATTCTATTTGTTAAGCAGAGCCATATTGGTTTTTCTGTTGCAGCATTGAGAAAGATGAAGGTCCTTCATATGAGAAGAGATTTGTGTCCTCAGTTAAAATTGCAACTAGAGATGGTGTGCTATGCATGAAGGGAGATGAAAAGTCAAGAATAAAGGATGCGGACAATTCTGCAGCTTCCTTGATGATCCGGGGCTTTACATGAATCTGGTTATATATGTAACATCCCGGTCCAAAATGAATTTGTTGCTTCAGGTTCTTCTGAACATAAGGAATTTGCCAAGCTTGATTGAAAATACCTGTAGGACGACTAAGAAAAGCCTAGAGGGGGGTGAATAGGCTTATTCAAATTTATTAGCAATAAATAACAATAGACTTTCGAAGCAGGATTGATATGGGTTATCAATCCTGAGATGTGCAGTGCTGAAAGTAAAAGAACACGCAGATGTTTATTTTACGTAGTAAAACCCCACCTCTGGGGAAAATCCACGGGACTCCTTAGTCCAGAACAAATCCACTATAGAATTGAAATTACAAGAGATACTCACACAATTATCCTAGACTCATTCTAGATAAAGTTTACCGACTTCTGTGTAATTCAACTTCTGTCACGGGATGATCTTCAAAGCTCCTTACGTTGAACGCAATACTGGTCACGATTGCTTCAAACTCACCGGAGGATAAATGCCACAACGATTTTGGTGCCCTCAACCATATGAGTCACCGACATGCATATGTATGCAATTATGAATGATGAAAGAATTCAATAAATCACCGAGCAACGTAAGGGCACTTGATGATTTACTGAAGAAAAATAAACACAGCAGCTTTTGCACAAATATAATCAATATGCTCTGCAAATTAAAACGTCAAAAGCTGCATCAATGAAACAGTGGTCACTTCTCTTTAATCAACACGAGTTTTCTCTCCCAAGGAGAGAAACCTCATAGACCAAGACGTCTATTCAATTAGGACTTGCAAACCTGATCCAACCAGGTTTCTACATAAAGTGCCAACACGTCAGCTTGCCAAAAGCTATCCAATTGTGAATATAACTTCTGACCCAAATAGGAATATAAATCCTAATTCAATATGGTGTCTTAGTGAAGACACCAATCAGCTACTTTTACAAATAAAGAATTCTCTCCTAAAACAAGGTAATTAGGAGATACACAAAGTTCACGTTACTATAGGAAAAGCTAATAATGCAACCTAACTCACAAGGACAATGAAAATAACTTCAGCCATAAATTCTATTTTGAATGCATGATTATGTGATGATTTACCTGTTGTCAAGTTTCTCATATGGTCAGGTCATGCCTCAGAAGTACGTGGTTGAAAGAGTTGAGCCAAACACGTCCAGTGACAATTTGTTACAAACTAATGTTCAACCTATGCTAAAGTCTAGGAAATGCCAATACAAAAATTCGTACTAACATTGATGCTGCTAAGGTAGCTGTGAATAAGTTATTGCCATCGATGGGTGTAAATGATGAGTTGTTTGAAGGTGTTGTCTTAATGGATGGGTCATTTCATATTGAAGAAGCAAAACAGAAGTTGCGAGAGATTTGTGACCAAAAGAAGTGGCCTAGACCAATTTACCAGCATGAATCTTTACGTTATCATGATTTTTCTGTTGTCAATTCTATTTGTTAAGCAGAGCCATATTGGTTTTTCTGTTGCGGCATTGAGAAAGATGAAGGTCCTTCACATGAGAAGAGATTTATGTCCTCAGTTAAAATTGCAACTATGGATGGGGTGCTATACATGAAGGGAGATGAAAAGTCGAGAGTAAGAGATGCGGACAATTCTGCAGCTTCCTTGATGATCCGGGCTTTACAAGAAGATTGTTGTATATGACGCAACGCTCTTGTAGCATTTGAAGGCATAGGTTGGATGGAAATTTACCTATTTAAATTTTAGAGAAAGCAAGAATTGCCATGGACTTTTGGAAATTGCTGTGTTTCAATGCCTCATGGATGCTAAGGATTTGAGGCTTTAACGTTTGGTTTGTGCTTGTAAATTTCAGATGGTCCAAAGCTCACCTTCAATGTAAAAAGCCTTTAACGTTTGGTTTGGCGGACGCTCTTAATTTTAAATTTACCTGCAAGCTTCTCTGGCATTCCCACAATTTACATGCTAGTTTGTACTCGCATGCAGAGTACAGAGCCCAAGCGTTTAAACATTCCAAACGACAACACAAAAATTAAACTCTGTCGTTCTCTCAGCTCTCAGAAAAACAAGGGCAGATTAGTCAGAGTATTTTTAAATTCAAAATTCTCAACCCTCCAATTCGATCATGGGATACTGATTTTTCATCAGCCAATTCCCAACATAACATGAGCCCTGTTTCTCTATGACTCATTAGCACAGTGTGTGAGAAACCACCCTTATATCACTTGTATAAAAAAAACGAAAAAAAAAAAAAATTTCTTTTTGGTCCTTGCTCTACTAGCTGAACTCAATTTTCTAGCATCCTTTTGGACCATTTCCACACAAATCGTGGGTTATTGGCTACACTATTCTACCTTTACTCTTTACTCTTTTTCTCTTTTGCTTTTTCTTCAATATTATGTTTGCTCTCTAAGCTAATTGGTTTCATCACTTTATCAAACTTCAAACCCCGAATTCATCAACAAGATGAAGGTCTTCACCACCCCAACATCCCTTGATCGTGTACTCGAGCCATCACCGGACATGAAAGAATCAGTGATGGCCGTGGAGAAGATCGTAGGCTACAACTTCAAGAACAAGAAGCTTCTAGAAGAAGCTCTCACCCACCCCTCCTTCACTGGGTCCGCGTCCTATCAACGCCTCGAGGTCCTCGGCGACAGCGTTCTAAACCATGCAGTGACCAACTACTTCTTTTGTATGGCTGACCACCAAAAGTTCACCCAAGGCCAAATCACTAAGCTACGCTCCGCCAATGCTAAGAACCTCAACCTCGCCCGCGTTGCCGTTCGTCATGGGCTTTATCGCTACCTTCGCCGAAATGCACCTGATCTTGATGATCAGGTCTTTTTCTTTTTAATTTTAGCCAAGCGTTTTCTGATTCTGAGTGTGATTGTTTAAATTTTGACTAACCTTTCTTTTTTCATTTTAAACTTTTAGGTTAGGGAGTTCACTGAAGCTGTAATTAATGGAGAAGAGATGGTTGAGTCTGAAGAAGCCAAGGTTCTTGCAGATATTGTTGAGTCCGTGGCAGCTGCTATTTACATCGAGTTGAATTTTGATCTCGATAAACAATGGATGGTGTGTATTTTTATTTATCTTCTTTAATTTAACATGAAAGCGTGAAAACTTTTGTTTATAAGTTTGTAAATGCGTGGAAGTTGGGATATATAACTTATGAATTTTTGTTGTTTGCCTGTTGTGCTTTTGTAGAAATTTAAGCCTCTTTTGGATCCTATATTTACTCTTGAAAACTTGCATGTTCACCCCACGACAGCATTGAATGAGTTTTGCCAGAAGAACGGGAAGGGCTATGAAATCAAGCTGCGGCCGAGATATGAGACCCGAAATGTAAGTATTGCTGATGTCTATGTTGATGGCGAGTTTATTGCCTCAGGTTCGTCACACAAGAAGAAAGGTGCAAAGGGTAACGCTGCTAAAGAAGCTATAAATAAGTTGTGTCAATCGGTGGTTGTTGACGATGGGTCGTTCCAAGGTAGTGCAGTTGGAAATAACATGTCATTTCGTATTGAAGAAGCGATTAATGGGTTGCATGTGCTTTGTGTCAAGAAGAGGTTGCCTAAACCTCCAGAATACAAGTATGAATCTTTACTTTATGAAACCCGTTATATATTGCTGGAATTATGTTGTAAATTCTAATGTTAACTAGATCCATAGTTGTTCTTCTATTGCAGAGAAGAGAATGTGTCTGGTCCTCCACATGAGAAGAAATATGTATACTCGGTTAAAGTGGTAACTTCAGATGGTACCGTGCAATCTGTGACGGGAGATGAAAAGTCAAGAAAAAAAAAAGCGATGAATTCTGCAGCTTACAAGATGATCCTTGTTTTACAAGAAGATGATAATATGTTCAACACCAGAGTCTTATAGAAGGATCAACAGCAAAGAAGCTAATAATATGGTCAACAGCAAAGAAGCTGATCGTATGATCAACACCAAAGCTTCTTATGATCAACAGCAAAGAAGCTGATCTTACTATAAAGACCAAAGAATCCAATTGCTTGATCAAGATCAAAGAATGGGATTGCATGATGGGTTATATTCCCTCACTCTACAAATTTGGGCTAGGGTGATAATAAGTCTCTTGGTTTCTTGTTTGAAGGGAATACGTCTGCTAGTTTGTTCATGCTTATGTATGTTACTTACACTAGTTATTGTCTCTGTTTTGTCCAACTTAGTTGGTTAGCTTTTGAGAAGGGGTTATAAGTAAATCCCTATTAAGGGTCATGAGGTGAAGGTCTCCTTCAATTTACCTATATATGTATAAATTCCTTTAGCCGGACTTGGCAAGGCATGTGAAGAAGATAATCTCATTTTCTCTATAATTTCTATAGTTTTATGTTCCAAAATCTTCCACACTTGCACCATTATATGTGCTTAATTGTATATGTGGTTCCTCTATCTACTGCCACAAGGGTCTTCTTGTTCAAAACGCTCAGGTGGACATATTCACTAACCCAAAAGAAAAGGCAAGAAAGAGGAAGGGGAGGGGGGGTCCTCCCCCCTCTATGGAGTTTTTCTTTGAGACTCACGTTGGGAAAAGAGTGGTTAGGGTTTTCAAAACTTAACCTGAAATTGGTTTCAAGTTCTACTTGCAAGTAAGCACCAATTGATTGATGATTTGATTTGAGAGTAGTTGTTAGTAATTGTAGCTGGATTATCATACTTGGATCCCACTCCATTTTTCATTCTTTAATCTTCTTGCTTCTAATATCGGCTTTATTTCTATATGTTGATCACACGAGAGGTTATCGAAACAGAGGTTGTAGTTATCCTAAACTATACAAGTGATAAGGTAGGAATTAAATAATTATCTCAAGATGAGATGTCGCTTGTATATGGCTGGTCTGTAAAACCCCCTAAGATTCTTGCAGATATTATAGAGTCTGCGACAGCTGCTATTTATGTTGACTTGAATTTTGATCTGGAGAAACTGTGGATGGTGTGTATCTTTATTTGCTTCTCTTTGTTTTAAACGAAAGTGAAAAGCTTGGTTTTGCTTAGTTTGTATAAAAGTTTTAGCAATTTGTCTATAGACTATAGTTTAACCTTTGAACTACTTTTGTA